TGTGTGTGTGTCTGTGTGTGTGTATGTGTGTGTGTGTGTGTGTGGGTGTGTGTGTGTGTATGTGTGTGTGTCTGTGTGTGTATGTGTGTGTGTACGTGTGTGTTCGTGCGTGTGTATAAGTTTTGTAATTATTATTATTACCATTATTACATTTATCTGGTAAATTGCCCCAATTTGACGTCTCCAATGAGAGAGGCAAATACACGCATTTTATTTCACGACCTTTTATTGTAAGGCCAAAAAAGGTTAATATCTTGTATTAAATCTAATCTCCGTCTGAGCTCAGATCTTAGGTTAAAAGTTTATCCTGTCGAATCTGTGTCCCGAACTTTCGGAAAAACGACAACAACGAACAATTAATAGACAGGCAAACAAAAATATTGTAGGAACAAATTAAGAAAAACGAAATATTTATTAAGTTTAAAAAAAAATCAAAAAAAATCGTGCTTTCACGTTCAGACGGTGAAAGGAGTAGAATAAATATGTGATGTAGAAATAGTTAAATATGGCTTCAACTTCAAAACTTCAATGTGTCCCCAAAACGATAGTTCCGGGAGCGAGAGGGTGAACAAAATAGGAAGGGATGGATAAGAAATCAAATGTGAGGCAGCGTGGTGGAATCAGGCTCTCGTCAATTTTTGGGCATATAGAGTTATTGGTATTATCTTAAAGCTTGTTCACTTGTCTTCATTTGAATGAAAAAAATATCCATTTATCTTGAATACAAGTCGAGATATTTGCGAAAGAATGAGGTGGGGGTCACCTGTTTTCAGAGGTAAACTTATTGAGAAAATGGCCGCCAACAATTAGTTATTTCTTTTGCTTAAGAATCCGTGGTAACAGAACATTTTCATTTTTTGTGCCTTTAACCAACGTTTTTCAGAAAAATACACACAGAAATGAATTCTTTAATGGACATGAAAGATGTTGAGCCGAAAAACAAAATTTTGATACAAATTCACAAACCTGCGGAAAAATGCAAGTTTCTTCACTTTGATTATTTTGACGAGAGCCTGATTCCACCACGCTGCCTCACAAATAATACTAAAGCAAGGAATGGAATAGCCATCGGATACGAAATAAAATTATATTATTTCCTCCGTCCGTTAAGCGATAGCGATTGACGGGACAAACATTCAACAGAAAAATGACCCAGCATGCAATCAAATAGAGGGGGGAGAAGAGGGCCAATCAGCGATGGAGAAAACTTGTGAAGACATGTGGCGTCGGTGGCCTAGTGGTTAGGCTCTCGGACTCGCAACCATAAG